GGCATTATATGTACTGTACTGTGGTGGGGATGTGCCCCGGCTTACCCCTGGGGCTCAGGGTCTGGAAGGGAGTTAGGGTGCGGGAGGGCATTCAGGGTGGGGATGCGTGAAGAGGCTCAGGGCTGGGGCAGGCAGGAGGTGCAGAGCACTTACCTGGGGCAGCTCCTGTTTGGTGCAAGGGGTGTGCAGGTGGCTCTGCGCAGCATGGCACCGCCCCCATGGCTGCGATTCTGGGAGGGGGAAGGGGAGGCAGCTTCCCCTCTCGCTCGCTCCCTCCCAGAAAGTCCTAAGCTGTTTGGCGGTGCTGCTTGGCGGGGGAAGCGCTGGGAGGGAGGGAGGGGGAGGAGGTGGAGGTGGAGGTGGAGAAGAGGAACTTGTGCAATGCTCCCTTGTAAAGTCAGCCAAACGACATTCTAAGGGAGCATTGCACAACTTTAAATGAGTATGTTCCCTAATGGAGCAGCGATGTAACTTCGAAGCAACGTTAAGTGGGAGGACGTTAAGTGAGTTACTGTAACTTTGTTCTGCATTAGTTTAAGGGGTGTTCAAGTGTAGCCTTCCTCTGTAGGTGGATACAGACTGCCACTGTTCAACAGAAAAGATCACAATCTTCTGTTGAAGACACACTGAAAAAGCATCCTTGGCCAACAGACAAATGGACATAATGCAGCAGAGAGTAAAAAGAACCCTCCCAAGTTATAAAACTGAGTAACAAGTGGGCATACCTTTTCAATACAAGATCCTCTGCCTTTTTCCCCTTAACCCAATATTATCTCAGTCTTTTCTGGACTGAATTATAACCAGCTAGCTGTTACCCATACAGACTAAATGGAAAGCTGAATTGCAATATCTTAGTCTGGCAAAATGTAGACAGCGGAGTATCAGCATAAAGGTTGTACTGCAGGTTAAAAAAATATTGTTTCTGGCCCTGCACACACATTGAACAAGTGGAATGACAAGGAAATCCTGAGAAACCCCAGCTGGAGACAAGCAGTTGCCCAGTACTATCTTTGAAACCCAAGAGTAAACATCCATTCCAATCCTGTTCCATTTATCCTTTACCAAGATCTGCTGATTTATCTCAATCAACTGTAATTATCTAATTAAATTAACATGGATGCATGATTTGATCTATTTTGCAGTAAACTAGTGAGACCAGTGCAATTTCTGCACCATAACCAGGCTTAAGAGACTGAAGAGGTAATCAAACAAGGACTCCAAGTATTGGTAGATCTTTTTTGCCATAACCTTCTCAGTTTTCCCTCCCAAAAAGGGATATTAGTGACAGGTTGATACACTGGCAAGAATACAATCAAGCAGAGTCTTCAGCAATCAACTAATAATTGCTCTTTTCAGAAGTGCTTTCAAAGTGGTATAATTTAAATTTTTTCAACAAATCTGTGAAGTACAAGGACATATCTATAGTTACAGGCAGCAAACCTTCTACTTGAGTGCTGGTTCATTCTAGTGCAAGCCAAGCTTCGGTTCTTGTTTCCTATTTTTAGTATTTTGCAAGCCTCCTCAGTGCTCTGAACGTTGATCCACTTTAAGTCTGCAGAAAGAGACTTGTTTACAAATACATCAAGTCATTAATATTTGTACAGGACAACCAACGTTACTTTTGTGATGTTGTTACCTTTTATATAAGAGTTTCCTCCTTGATCCTCACAGATTTTTAGAACTTTGCGTTTTTGATTTTTTGATATAGCCAATACATCCATAAGATCATACACATACTCATTATAAATTTCACAGAAGGAAACCCACACTGAAGACTGCGTTCTCTGATGCTTAGTCCCATCGGCGTCAAGTAAAACAGAGTCCTCCACTGTTAACCATAAAAAAAAAAAAAAAAGATTGATTACTCAAGCACTTTATCAGCAAGTCTGAAATTGTTTAGTAGCCTCTGAAATTCAAAGGACAGAAAGTCCCTATTATACATAATTTTGTACACAAAATTTAGCTTTGTTACTTCTCCCAATTTTTTTGCATATACCTAATTAACACAAATGCACGAGAAAACATGTCAGATTAGTCCCAAATATTTAACATTGCCCATCAAATCATCTGCAACTCAAAAACAGACTCACAAATACTTCCTGGTTTCCTATTTTCTCCTCTTACGCCAACCACCAATTTGATGTTTCTAGCCACAAGTTCTCACCAAACCTTTCTTTTTGCCTAATAAACTAAGCCACTACTTAAATGTGGCAAAGATATCAAAGAGGATTTTAAATTTCTTGTATCTCTTCTACATTTCACACTTTGAAAGTGAGTTAAATCTCCAAAGCTTAGACTTTCCGAAGAAAATTTTCTACTGGCTGCCAATTACAAGATTTTTTGCTTCCACTCCCCTCCATTCTTAAAACGATTCCAGCAGACACCTTCATTTTCACCACATGAATTCAAGTGTATTTTACCTAGCGGGTCAGAAGGCAGACTTGTTGAAGTACAGCTGCTAGAAGACACAGATTCCAAGATACATAATGAATCACTCTGAATTGTAGATTTCGAAGTATCTTCCATGTCCTTGAGAAAATAAAAAAGTTGTTATAGCCAATTAACAACATATTATAGTTGAAGGAATAGTGCAACAGTGACGATGTTACTCTGGGCTTATCTTCACCTCCAATACTAGTTTTTGAAAGAGGTTATTTAATTACAAGCTACAAAAACAATTCAGAAAGATCATAATTGCCGTTTTTGCAACGAAGAAGAAAACTGTAGCATGAAGCAAAATCAGAATAGAACTCTTGAGTTAAGCTAAAATTTATATTCAAAGCAGTCATTTCTTGGCCCCCTGCTGGCAGCCACTATTTTTACTAGAAGTTTTACATTTGCAACAGCAGCAATCAGCATCAGATTGCCACAGCCTCTTTTCTTAAATATTGTCCCCACCTGCTCCCCCATGCCAATAACTTGATCTTCAGCATCCTGAATGGAGCTCCAGGCATCTCCTTCTCCTCCCACAATTAGATTTCATCCTCCCCCTATTTTGACCCAGCTTCAGTCATCATTCTTCAGTTAATATTTCACATAGATGGGAGCAGACAGGTAAGTATATGTAGACTAATTGCTGTTAAAATATGAAAGCTTCCTCTACATGTTCAAGAGTAAGTAACAGAACAGAACTTCAGATTCTGATTTCTCACATGAAGAGTATAATTTGTCACTATTGGGAAGGTCCGAGGTGTTTCATCTAATGTAAACAGTGAACTCTTTCAATAGTAAACCAGTAAGAAAAGTGAAAATTTACTTGAAAAAAAAAGTAAAGATGTCCACTTGTTTAAAAAAAAAATGGTTAAGTTACATAAATTCCATTCAGGTAGGTTTTTTAAGTACAAGACTGTAGACACATAGAAGCAATACTCTTCATAATAAAGTAGTTAGAGATGGGATGGTATCGGGCCATTCAGATATACATGTCAACCTATGACTGAACTACAAGGAGTTCTCAAAGAGTTCAGAAAAAAGCTTCACCAATAACAGACTAGATAATTTAGTGGTCCCTTCTGACCTTTAACTCAATGAACAGGACAAGTGCCTTGAATATACCTGCTTTGAACATAGCAATATTACAAATTTGAGATGTTACCAGAACTTGATCAATATCAGTGGTTTTCAAACTGCGGGTCACGACCCAGTACTGGGTCGCAGAATGTAAGGCACTGGGTTGCGGCGGCTCTGGTCAGCACCACCGACTGGGCCGTTAAAAGTCTGGTCAGCAGTGCTAAGGCAGATTAGTCTCTACCTGTTCCGACAACACTGTGCCCCGAAAGTGGCCAGCAGCAGGTCCAGCTCCTAGGCGGGGG